CGTCGAAGTTATAAATATTATCGGGGTCGATTCTAAATTAAAGCATTATTTTTTAAATAAGATCGAACCACTCTCGAATAGTTTTCGGGTCTTTATATTTCGTACGTTTATAATTATAGCGTTTCGAGAATCGGGAGGAGAGGATAGGGTGTCGTTTTTCACGAAGTTATAAACCCATTTTTCGCCGACCGAAATAACCGGGGTGGTTCCACGTTATTAAAGTAAAAGATTCGCCATTTCTCGTATAGTAGAAGGCCGGTGAGCTACTCCACGAGAGTCCATAGAAAGAATCTATTTTTAAAGAGATTCCTCTTCAGTTTCTGTGAATTTCTGTGAATTTACGCGAGAAATCGCGCGGTAAGGGGTGCCCTTTGAACGACGGAGGAGTGTCGATTTTAGGACTTAGAAACGGCGCGCTGCTTCATAAATAGAGATGATTTACTCGGTCTTAATAGCCTTAATAGGTAATAAGACCCTGCCCTCTTACTCTGTTAAATTTCTGGAGCATCGGGAGCGAATTGGTGGCATGATGGGTGGTTAAATTAATTAACTGCTAATTAAAAGACGCGTTTTAGGTTAGGTGGACCACTCGCTTACCGAATACGTTAATGGCGTTTTAGTTAAGATAAATGTATTTAAATTAGTAGGTTAGATGGGGTGACCCACTCGGTAGTGAAATACGTTATATAGTACTATACCTATCTCCTATTTAGCTTCTACTATACTATAAAAGTGCGAAGATTCGTGTGATCTAAGAGCACTTTAACCAGGTACTTATTACCGTTAAGGTAGTGTCTTTGGTGTTAAAATAAGTATATAATAGCGAATAGCTCCTAATCCGGTGTCGGGTAGTTAAGTTCTACTCCAGAGAATTTCTGAGACTAAAATGCGACTAGGTACTATTATCCCTCGCTATCTAGCTAGGATAATACTCCTCCTATTCCCTTATTTAGAGTATTAGTCTCTAGCCTAATATACTTTTTAGGGTTAAAATAACATAAGAGAGACGCTAATTTAAAGGAGGCTTTTAGCTACCGAAACGCCTTCGATTCGGTATCGCTAAGTTATACTTTCCTAGGCTTTTTCCTATTCTTTAACCCCTTAAGGATTAATATAAGGGGTAAAGAGACGTAGGAGTATCCCTTAATAAATCTACGATAAAAATTATAGAATCTAAAGAATACTTATACGTTATAGTAGCTCTAAGGCTTCTCTTATTCCTAGATTACGCGGATATAACCTTTATCTATTCGTACCCCGTCGCTATTAACGATAAATCCTAGGAACTCGACTTCCTTTTAATAGAAGGTGCATTTTAGGGGTTTAACGTAGAGCTCTGCCTTTCTTAGTTAATCGAAGACTTATTATAGTGCTTTTATATAGGATTCTCGATCTAGCGTAAAGATAAGGATATTATCTAGATACGCTATATAAACGATATTGATTATTCCGCTAAGGGCTATATAGATATAACTTTAAAAAGTGATAAGAGCGTTCGATAACCTAGAAGGCATAACTATATACTCGAAATAGCTATAATCTTATTCGGAAAGCGGTTTTTTACTTATCGCCTTCTTATATTCTAATATGATAGTAGGCGTCCTTTATATCCACTCTACTAAAGTATTAAGCTCCTAATAGCCGATCTAGGATCTCTAAAATAAGAGGTAATAGGTACTAATTCTTAACCGAAACATAGTTAAGACCCCGGTAGTCTATATATAGACATAAACCTCTATCCTTTTTAGGGACGAAAAGGATCGGTGCTCCTATAGGACTCCTAGATAGCCGAATCCTCTTTTTCTTAATACTATCTATAAGGTAAGCCTATAGCTCTTTAGCTTAGTCCTTAAGAAGGGGAACATCGGGCCGTATAGCGGGGTTTTCCCTCTTTAATCTCGATAGTATAATCGGATACCTTTAAGATTAGTAGAGTACCCGCCTTTTTATGGTCGAATACGTCTAGATACTCCTCTAATTTAGAGGGTATTCGTGAGGGGTCTAGTTCTAGCTAGACCTGGCTTTGAACCTCCGCATGGGTCCCTACCCCGGAACCTCGAACCTCACCTCTTGAGGTGAGGTTCCAACCTTACTAACCTCCAACCGCCCATTAACCTCCAGAGGTTCTTTGAGGTTCAACCTCCATCGACCCGCATGAACCTGCATATACATAATTTCTTGACGCCTTTCCTCTTTTAGCTGGATAAAATTAATGATTCATCTCTGTTTTTTACAGATGTTTCGTTAACTAATAGACTTTCCACTGAATACTTTATCAACATAATGAATTATAAAGATATATTCATTAAAAGGTAAATAGGAGGCGTGGTCGCCTATAAATTATAGGTAATATTCGATGATATCGACGTGGTGGGTTATTAATAGAGGTCATCGATAAATGGCATATAAAGTTATAGATATATATATCGCAGACATTATAAAGTATGTGTATCTTTATTAGTAGAACTACTGTTCTTTAAGAAAACTATAAAGATGTAGTTTAATTCCCCTTATTTTAATATCATTTAAACCGTTATATCCTCTTCTATCACTTTATCTTTTAGAATTTAGATCAATTAATCTAGATATACCGTGAATCCGGTTTAAATGTCCTAATTATTAGACTTAGACATTCTATTTTTCCTATATTAAGGTTCTCGTTAAGGTTCGTTAAGATTCGTTAAGGTTAGTTAAGGTTTATTAAGGTTCGTTTCTATAGTGATCCACTATACTAGCGAATCAGATATAGATAGGGCTTATAAAAGTTAATATATTAATTTAAGTATTATGGAATAGGGATAAACAGATGCCCTAAGAAGACCCCGTAACTTCTATAGAATAACTAGTAAGTTCCTTATTATCTTCGCTAAGTTACACTAGTTTACTAAAGTTATCATGTCTCAGATTACCGACGGCTACGGCTACGCATCATCTAGCTTCGAAGGGTTACCTTTAGACGCGCTATAATACCTTACCCCTAACGATACGCTATCCTAACGCGAAAGCCAGTTTAATTTAGTTCTAGACCTTCTAGACCTTCTAGATAACTAAGTCCGATCTCGCGTAGGACCTTAGGCCCTAGACACCCTTACGCGAATTAAGCCAGATAGTATTAACGAGTATATTGTCTTTACTACCGATATGTCCGCGGAATTCGTTAACTAGTGGCTTTAAACCGATTTTAGTAAGAAAAAGCGGCTAAACTGGGAGGTTAGCCGTCACGCAGACTGCTGGACTAGGTTTTAATAAGTTATATATACTAAAGATAGAAAGCCTAGCGTTATGTGTAATCGGTGCCGTATAGTTCTTACGCATCCAGCTATAAATCATACTAGAAACTCATCGATGCAGAAGCATCTTAATGGGCTAAGGTGTCGACAGCGAATTACGAAGAAGGGTAATATCTAGTAACTACTTAGCGACGCGGTATGTTCGAAATAGCCTAAATTTAATATTAATACTAATAATGAATTCACTATATCTTAGGCCGAGAGAAGACTAGCGCCTCTCTTTACCTAATAAACATAGGAACAGAAGATTCTAAACCTAATCACTATATCACATTTACCCTTCCTCTTCGTCGAGCACTAAGAATTCTATGACCTTATTTCCTACGCACGGCTAGCACCTATATCACCGAGCGTTCTATTAAGAAAGGTGATTCGCGACCGCCTCCGGGGTTTCGTTACAGAGTATTAATAAGAGACACTATAATAGCTCCTATCTAGTGCAAAAATGTCGATTACGCTTAACTGCTGGATATCCCCATTTAAGCACGCATTTATGGCTATCATAGGATACTTCCTAGACTAGGAATGGGAGTATCGTGAGGTCCTACTTAGGTTTAAGCTAATTTCTGGATCTTATACTGGCGTGAACCTTAGGGACGTAGTTCTCTAGATCCTATAAAAGCACTAAATCGCTGACCGAGTGCTCGCGGTGATAACTAATAATGCGTCTAATAATAAGACACTTATCGCAGTAGTGAATGATTTAATTAAGAAGCTATATATAGAGACGGAATCTACGATTATCTAAGTGCCCTGCCTTACGCATGTTATTTAATTAAGTCTAGTTAATTTACTTAGTAAAATCAAGGCTTCGCTAAAGAATGATAACGCTGAGACAGAATGGTCTAATGATCGTGTACGTTTACTTCGTGCGCGCCAGCAGAAACATGAGATCGCCGATACTCTAAATAAGGTATGCTTCTATTTATGAATCATAAATTATGATTTAATAATACTAACTATTCTGATTCCTGATAGGTCCGAGGTCTTACGGTTTATATTAACGGAAGCCCTTAACGTAAGGAAGCCTTCCTGAATACCCAGCCTAGTAATACGCTACGGCTTCTTCTAATCTAGGATATTCGTACACGGTGGAATTCGACATTTCTAATGCTCCGACGGGCGAAGAGGCTTTATATCGTATTTAATAAGTTCTGTTCCGACTATAATTAACACCATTTTACATTAAGTGCAGAGGGGTGGCGACAGATTAACTATCTGCTTTATATTCTTTAGCCCTTTTTTACGCTCACTACGCTAGTTTATCGTACTAAAGACTCGAGTATCCACCTTATCTTTAGGATTTATAATAAGCTCTTCGATCATCTTAAAAGATCGATAGGTTAGCTTCGTCGAAAGAAGGTTCCCTAGAAACAGTTAATGCTTTCCTCCCTCGATACTGCGAAAGAGAAACTAAAAAAATACTACGCCGAGACAGATAGTATCGAAGGTAATCTCTATATAATTAGGACGATCCTAGCGCCGTCGAGTAAGATAGAGTTCTTTTTAATAAGTGATTAGGACCTAGATCTTAAGATAGGAAAGGACTATAGAAAGGAATACCGCGAGAGTCTTTAGTCTTTTTTTAAGAGATACAGCTAACGTATACCATTAGAGATAATATAATCTAATAGCTAGTTATTCATAACTGAATCGGAGCTTAAGAAGGCCCTTAACGGCGATTCTTCATAACGATTAACTGCTCCGCAGTACGACGAGCTCACTAAATATCTCCAGAGTGATAAGTAAGTAAGCCTACTTTATGAATCATATAACTAACCTTATCTAATTAGATACTATTAAAGGATCTATTCGGATCTTCTAGAAAGATCATTAGAGGGAATTCCCTATTCTTATAAGCATTACCCGTGATATTATGTTAATTCTAGCGACTAGTGCCGGAGTTAAGCGTCTTTTTAACTCTGCCCGGGATATATGCCACTACCGCCGGGGGTCGTTAAACCCAGAGACTGTTCGCGATATTATGTTATATATGTGTATAATAAGATTCGATATTAAGGAGGAGCAGCGGCTGATTCTCTAAGAGTATCTTTTAGACCATGAGATAGCCGCTTCGGCCGAAGCACTTAATGTCCAGACATATGCTTTCGAGGTAATTAGTGATAATGAGGAGGATATTAAGATACGTCTTAATACACCGGCTGCTATATCATTTACGTAAGTAACTCTAGACGCACCGCTACTCTTAGCAGTCGCCGCTAGAAAGCGGCCTGCAGTTAATTCTGACGATAAGGAAGACTCTGATACCGATGAATTTACGGAACCAGATAAGAACAGGGCATCACCCTTACCTAACTTCCCTAATACGCAGCATCGTGTATCCGGTAGAATACGGAAGAAGTCGAGACTACTGGATGGGTATATAGCTTGATTACTTAAATCTTAACTCTTCAGAACTATAACCAGACACTGCACTATAGATATAATATAAACCATTAATAATTAAAAGTTAAAACCCTAATTCGAAGCTGAATCCATGATATGCACTAAATCCTCCTATAAGGGCATACATTAATGAACTTCTGTTTTATAATTACGAGAGAATACAGCCTATTTCTACATAATTTATGTAGTTGACCCTAAGTCACGTTTTTTACCTATTTATCATGCTTATTGAACCTCAGGTTCACCCGCGGGTAACCTCCATGAGGTTCGGTCCAAGATAGAACCGCCCGGAGGTTCTAGGTCATAGAACCTTAACCTCCGGGTGGGTGAACCTCCTTGAGGTTCGTGAGGTTCACCCGCGGTTCCTAGCCAGGTCTAGTTCTAGCTAGTTACCGTTTTCGTTAGGGAGCTAGACTTATTTAGGTATCTTCACTAACGCGTAGACGACTACGGAGTTCCTCGATAACTTAGCGAAACGGTGTAGATTCATTAGGTTAAAGGACTTAACTCCGAGCCACTAGTAAGTAGTCTACTAGGGCGAAGGGTGATAACGTATTTCACTACCGAGTCGGCCACACCACCGAGTCGGCCACCCAATCTAACTTATGAATTTTAATTGCAATTATTTCAACGAAAATGCCATTAAATTAATTCAACTAACTAATCGGTCTATCTGGACAGGTTTCTCTTCTATGCCCTGGTAACCTGCATATTCCACACCCCCGGGGGGGGGGGGGCGCGTACGTGGCCGAATAGCCGATTCTCCCTGTATATTAGCGCTGGGGGGAGGTGGTTTAACTGCTTCCCCCGTCTGTAAAATTAAAGTAGAGGCTTCTTAAACTAAGAGGCCTTCTTCGGAAGGTATATGCCTTCTAGATCGGGTGCGCTTTTACTTCTTCTTCTCATTTTCAGCGCGTAATTCCTTATTTTCTTTCGCCAGTAAGATAGCACCTTATATTATAAGACGGAAGCCCTTCATAAGCTGGTTTAATGCACGATCTGACGGGCTATACGGACTTCGAGATCTTATACGAAGTAAAGCTTTAATTAACGAAGCCTATCGACGTAGTTCTTTCTCTATAGCTAGTGTTTTTAGTATAAAATTCCGACTCGATTCGCTCCCCCGGCTCGGAGGGGGGGGTCGGTGTTCGAAGATAAATATTTAGCTTCGAGATCACTCGGTCGGGTGTAAAAGGTACTAAGCTAGCTACTCCGAAGCTATTTTTAATAGTCTCCGATTTAAAGGCTTTAATTCGTGCGAGGGGGTATGCTTCGAGGAAGTTAAGTTTATCGATATAGTTAATCCTATTCCGCATTTTTATCTTAACTAGCCGACTATATGATCGTTTTAACACCGTAAAATAACCGATATTAAGAGGCTATAAAAGATAAGAGGAGTGCGGAGGCATACAGATCGGTATAATATGATTTTTCTCGCATATTTCATCGAACTTTAGGGTTAAATGGCTTCCGTGACCGTCGAGTACTAGAAGTCGATACCTCCCCTTCGTACATAAAGAAGTCGTCGGAATAAAGAGCCTTTCGAGCCACCGAAGTCTAATTTCATCGGAGGTCCATCCATTCGGACTAACTTTAAACCGCTAGTTATCTGGAAGGCCGTCGAACTAAGATTCGAGGAAGACTTTACCTTTAAAAATCACACACGGAGGGAGGGCCCACCCCGAAGCATTTATACACTTAATAGTAGTCACCCATTCACGATTTCTAGGTTATAAAACTAAGCGCCGACTAGAGAGTTCACTCCTCGTGATCACCTTCGCCGTAGCGATTAACCCTATCGCGAAACCAGTCTCGTCGAAGTTATAAACGTCATCGGGGTCGATTCTAAATTAAAGGATTATTTTTTAAATAAGATCGAACCACTCTCGAATGATTTTTAGGTCTTCGCATTTCGCGCGATCGTAATTATAACGTCTCGAGAACCGGGATAAAAGAAGAGGGTTTCTTTTAACGAACTTCATAACCTAATTTTCGCCGACCGAAAGAACCGGGGTAGTTCTACGCTATTCGAGGAGAAGATTCGCCATTTCTCGTATAGTAGCATGGCGGGGGGCTACTCCACGAGAATCCATAGAGAGAATCCATTTTCGAAGAGATTCCTCCTTAACCTCTGTTAATTTATGCGAATTTACGCGAGAAATCGCGCGGTGTTAAAGACCGCGTAGTCTGTCTTAGAGAGTTAAACGTGGTACGTTAAATCGGCGCGCCACTTCACGAATAGAAGAGATTTCTTTATTCTTAAAAGCCTGAATGGCTAAAAGAATCCTACCCTCTTGCTCTGTTGAATTTCTAGAGGTTTAGGAGCGAATTAGTGGCATAGTGGGTGGTTAAAGATAAAGGGTTAAAATTAATTGACGCGTTTTGGGTGGGGTGGCCGACTCGGTGGTGTGGCCGACTCGGTAGTGAAATACGTTATCGAATTCATTAATAAAGGTACACGATAGAAGTATTAGACTTCCCTCTACGCGTAGGTCTCTATTAATGCCTATATAGGGCCTCTTTATTATCTTCTTGGTTCCTCTAGAGTCCGTAATTATAAATAAGACCTAGAATAAACTATAGGTACGTAGTCGCTCTAGGCCGACGTCTTTTAGAGAGGGGGACGAGAATAGAGCGGCGAGTAATTTATTCCTATAAGCGAATTCCTTACTAACTATATCGCATTCCGCACCTATATCTAGATCCGTATAGGTTTTAACACCGTTTTTAAGGGTAATCAGTATATAGAGGCGTGCTACGGTCCTGATCTACGGGTATAGAGCTAGGATATCGGGTTCTACTCTAGCTCTCTCACTTTTCCTAACTACCTTAGTTACCCTAATCGGATTACTTAACGTATTTCACAAGCGAGCCGCCACCACAAGCGAGCCGCCATCTCCAAAACACATAGTAAATGCGATAGATTATAACTTGATATCTCAACAACGGTGGTCTATATTAGCTTTTCCTATTAATTCCACGGTTTTTATATGATATCCAGCTACTTTAGGGAGTTTCAAAGAATTTGATCTTCTAGTAACTGACATATATATATTTCTGGAGCCCAGCGACGTAATTTTCAATACGACAATAATGTAAGCTTTCGATTTCCTTAAAATTGCTATATGCTACCGAAAATGCCTATCAATACCTATCTATCTATAGCGGGAATCAAATTAAGTTATTATGGTTAAAACATGAAGCTATAATTTGTCGCATCTACTATGTGTTTTAGAGATAGCGGCTCGCTTATGATGGCGGCTCGCTTATGGTGGCGGCTCGCACGTGAAATACGTTAGATAACTAATTAGATAGTTACTTTCTAGGGGTATTCTAGTATCTAGTGGTTTTTATCTCTATATAGGTAGTAGCTTCCTTTCGACGCTAAGTCGGCGCTATTACTATTTCTAGAAGAGGTGGTATTTATCCATAGGGCGTAGGATCTACCTTAATATCCTAATCCGCCGCGTCCTTAGCCTCTTAGGTTTCCCCTTCCTCATGCTTATTCCTCTTCGTAATATACCCCTACGTCCTCTACGGAAGTATATGTTCGATAGGGTGGGTGGTATTATCGTTTTAGGGTCGATTCGAGGGCGAATCGCTATAGCTTCCCTTTCGTCTCTTATCTTATATATATAATAAGTAGTCCTTCCTTTTCGATAGTGAGAAATAGACTAGAGTAAGGGTTAAAGCCTATATCGATATTTCCTCTCTTATGGTTCGTGATAATAATTAGGTCTCGAGGCGGCTTCTCTAAAGCTTTATAAATAGTGCCTAGGCCTTTTATTCCTCGGTTTAATTTAGGTATTTCTCTAGCGATTTGAGATAGTCTTCGAAGTTTCGCGGGTCCTAGTAGGGGCGTATTTCTGCCTTTTAATAGAGGATAAAGATATCGGTAATAATATCATAGGAATTTTATAGTAGCGTCTTCATCTATTCTTCGAAGTTATACTAATTCGCCTTATATTTAGGGTATTTTTATACATAAGATGCCCACTTTTCTTTATAGCTTATATAAAGGTAGTTTATTATAGCGAGCACCTTTTAGGAGTCCGAAATAGATTTCTTTAAGGCTCCTTCGAAGAGGGCAATTAAGTTATTAAGCTATTCCTCTCTAGACACCAAAATTCCTTCTCTTCTCTAAGCTTTTTATACACGGTTTATGGCCTAGTCAGATTAAATCTAAGTCTCGCTTTAGCCATTCATAGTATCCAGCCGGGGTTATTATTATATAGGTCGTGTAAATCTAGTTTATCGGTAATAAGCTTCGGATTAATAGACTGACGTATTTCACCACCGAGTGGCCACCCTAACCCTACATATTAAATTCAAATACATTTTTCTCTACCAAAACTCCATTAAATTAATTCAACTAACTAATTAGTCTATCTGGGCATGTTTCTCTTCTATGTCCTGGCAATATTTGGACCGCTATTGAAGATGACAATTATGAGTACGCGCGCGAAAAGCGACAACGCGGTGGAAGAAAGAAGCGCAAGAAGAACTTTGAAACACATGTTGTCCAGAACTGGGATGATATCTACGACTCTTCTCGGCCTACCAATAATGCAGAATACCGCCATAATGACGAGAAGATCGGTGAAGTCCGTCTGCTCCGAAGCTATTTTTAATAGTCTATGATTTAAAAGCTTTAATTCGTACGAGTGGGTATGCTTCGAGGAAGTTAAGTTTATCGATATAATTTATCCCACTCCGCATTTTAAATTTAATAAACCGACCGTACGCACGTTTTAGTACCGTAAAATAGCCGATATCGAGAGGTTATAAAAGGTAAGAGGAATACGGAGGCATATAAATTAGTATAATACTATTTTATTCGTAGATTTCGTCGAACTTTAGTGTTAAATGGCCTCCGTGACCGTCGAGTACTAGAAGCCGATACCTCCCCTTCGTACGCGAAGAAGTCGAAGGAATAAAGAGCTATTTAAGCTAATAACGTCTAATTTTATCCGAAGTCTAACCGTTAGGGCTTACTTTAAAGCGCTAGTCATTCGGGCCGCTTCTAAACTAAGATTCGAGGAAGACTTTACCTTTAAAAATCACACATAGAGGAAGCACCTAGCTAGAAGCACCCATACATTTAATTACTATCACCCACTCGCGAGTTCTAGCTTATACAGTGACTGGACATAAGTTCTTGCACCCCCTATAGCCCCACCTATCTCACCGCCAATAGATATTTATACCGCCTACCTAAAACGCGCAGTATGGGGAATAATGACACGACAAAGGAGATACTGGTGGCGACAGCGCAGCAGGCATGGGACGAATTAGAGCTACGCCACTTGAAGCATCTCTCTGAGACGATGCCGCACCGTGTAGAAGCTATTATTGAGAGCCAGGGATGGTATACGCCGTACTAGCTTCCATAGTATGAATTCATTGAGGTTTTGACCGGCAGTATATTATATAATCAAGGGGGTGTGGGCCCTAGGGGTGCAAGAACTTATGTCCACTGACTGTAAAGTCTTACGCTAACCGTATATATCACTTCTCGTAATAACCTTCGCGGTCGCGGTCAATCCTAACGCGAAACCGGTCTCGTTAAAGTTATGAACGTTATCTAGGTCGATTCTAAATTAAAGGATTATTTTTTATACTAGATTAAACCACTCCCTAATAATTTTCGGGTCTTCGTATTTCACACGTTCGTAGTTATACCGTTTCGAGAATCGGGAGGAGAGGAGAGGGTGTCGTTTCACGAATTTCGTAACCTAATTTTCGCTGACTAAAAGAACCGGGGTAGTTCCACGTTATTAAAGAAGAAGATCCGCCATTTCTTATACGGAAGAGGGCGGGGGGGCTGCTCTACGAGAATCCATAGAGATAATCCATTTTTAAGACATTCCTCTTTAAGTTCTGTTAATTTATGCGAATTAGCGCGAGAAATCGCGCGGTCTTACACGCTGCTAAGGCGGCGGCGGAGAGTTAAACGCGGCACATTAAAAGTGCGAGCAGCGAGAGTAATATTACTGACATCTCCATTTTTAAAAGCCTGGATAGCTAATAAAAGCCTACCCTCTTACTCAATTAAATTTTTCGAGCTTTAGGAGCGAATTAGTGGCATAGTTGGTGGTCGAAGAACAAAGGGTTAAATTAATTGACGCGTTTTGGGTGGGGTGGCCACTCGGTGGTGAAATACGTTATAGGCCTATTAATCTAAATCCTAGCTTAATTATTTGTGGCCGGGAGGAGGTCTTTCGTCTGATTTCACTAATTAAATATAGGAATTTATCCTTAAGAGAGTTTACGGCATCCGCTTATTATAGCCGCCTTAATAGCGTCTATAAACACTAGCATAGTGAGGCTAGAGTATATAACTAGTATAAGAAAGTAAGAAGAATAAAATGATATCATTCTTCTCATAAACTTAATAAATTTAGGTGTGAAATGGGAGCTAAAATGGTCGCATAAAACTAGCATTTTTTCACTAATTATACCACGAGCTGTCCACTTATAGAATAGCTAAATCCACTAAAATGCTAGTGTCATTAATATAACTAGTGTCGGTTCCTGCGATATGCTTATCGCCATTAATTATATTAAACTCGCGTAGTAGTACCCACTTTACGCTTAGAATTATGAGCGGCGGGTAGGTAAAACTATTGGTAGAAATAGCCTCTAAAACACTAATAAATTCACGACTTGTGATAGATCCATTAAATAGCTTTTTTTTAGATACCTTATAATAATAAATTAATCACGTCTAACGCTAATTTAGAAGCTAGTTATACCGAAATTATAGATATCTTAAGTGGCAGATACTATACTTAGTAATAATTCGTTCGTAGTCTTTAAACCATCTAGCGACGACTATATTATCGAGTGCACTACTCTTTTAACGTTAAGAGCACGCCGACGTCGTACGTAGTACTCTACATTACGTTTAAGAAAACGTTTTAGCCAGTGGTCACTAATTTATAGGGGTCTCGTGGTAGAATCGGTATAGTTATCCTCGAGAATTAAATTAGTAGTAATAGCTATTTATCGACTATTAATGCTCCGACCGCGTTAAAGTAATTAATATATTCACATAAAGCCTTCTTCTATATAGGAGTAAGCTTCCGACCATTAAATTATCGTTAAAAAAGTGATTTTCCGCCTTACTAGTGTCGATGAAGCCGGCCCTTAAGAACCGCGAATTCTCGCGCAGTCTTCCTAGTATTAGGCTTAAACTAATTAGATAGGGAGTCTAATATTAGCTGAATCTGCTGCTTAATATTTTTATTTAATTTACGCATAGTTAGTGGTATGGTTAAGAATTAATTTAAAAATGTAAAAAGTATGAAAAATATGCCATTTAGGTGATCTGTTTTATATAGGTGGCGGACCCTCGCTTACGATGGTCCGCCTTTTTTATTACAAATAATTATAGGGGCCAGGTTATGGAGAAAGAAAGAGAAAAAGAGAAAAGAATTGGTGGGTTAAGGGATTTTATGGGTTCTTTCCTACCCACTAATATAAATAGTGTAAATATCTACCTCTCGCTTTATTAACTAAATAAATAACCTAATAAGGAAATATTCTTAAATTATTATATAGCCCCTACGAGAGCATTTAGGCCCTCAATATAAGTTTATCGTCATTAAGATAGTCTTTTAGGATCTAACCATCATAACTATATTAAGCTACTCCTATAAACGTATCGGGGGACTAGGTTTTAGAGGATCTTACGTGTAGAGTTCCTAAATACTTTCTAGTGTATACTTTAATTTCCTATAGCATATATTATAGTTTAAGATTATATCTAAGGTACTATACACGGTACTATAGTTTCTAATAATATATCCTAACGTTAAGCATATTTTCGACTTCCTATTTATCCATTTATCCGTTCTTAATCGCTAGTAATAGATCTATAAGTTATCCTTATAATAGTTCTACTATCGTGGTCTTTCGAGTTTACCTAAGTTAGGTAGCTTAAATCGCCTCTAGTAGGTCTAAATTATAAGAATTTCTAACTTCCTTAATGATTTTATAGGGTCTAATTAAAAAAAAAGGCACGAGAGCTTCCTACTTCTAGGAGGTTATAGCAGATAAATAAATTAAGAAAAATTAGATTAAATTAAGACGAAGGTTAAATTAATGAATTAAACCTATAAAACTCATTAATAGATTATTCTACTTTCTATACTAGATTTTAGCAGTACATTTATGCTTAATTTTAAAATTCTATTATTTTACTTAAGACTTAATGTTAGATTTTTAATATTATAATTTAGAGTCATAATATCATAGATTAATCTATATATGCTTTTATTTATAAATAATAGTGAATTTTTATATTTAATATTAATATTAATCAATATATGTATCACTAGGTATTAACCGGCCCTTACATTTTGTACCAAAATTACAGACCTTCGTAAGCGAGGGTCCGTCACCCATTTATAAAGGATCACCTAAATGTAAATATTTTCATACCTTTTACTTTAACCACCATTTACTATCTTATAATACGTCGTAGTATATTAATTAATTAAAAATAGTAAAGAAATTAATTAGCTATTTAACTACTAGAATATAAAAGAAAATCACTTCTCCCGGCGTTTTTTTACCCTACTATGCTTCCTAATTTTAACTAACACCTTCTTCCACTTCCGCCTTATTTTTTCTTAATCCATCTTTTCACTTAATTTAAACTCTTTTCCTTTTATCTCTTTAACTTAGGATAAATTAATGATTCCGGTGATCTATATATAATAACGAGAAGTATCGTACCGGGTATAGCGAGCACCCATAATAGCTTATATTAAATCGAATTCCCGCTATATCTAGTAAGCTAATATAGCTTACGCTTTAGCCCCCTTTTAAAGCTTTATTAAGGCATTTTTAAAGCGCTAAGTATCTAGATTATACTAATTAAGCCGGCAGCTAATCCTTCTCACTTTCTCAGCGGTTTTTAGAGTGCTAAACTTAGTGTTTTATGAGGTGGTTAAGGGTGTATTCGACCGGGGTAAATTATTATAATATAGATCGTACGACTCTAATTCATCCGTAATAAGCTTAGGATTAATAGGCTAGAGGCTAGTTAATTTAAATCTAAGCTTTATTATATTCGACCGGAAGGTTTTCCGTCTAATTTCTCCAATTAAGTATAGAAATTTATCCTTAGAGAATTTACGGCATCTAGTCATTATAGTAGCTTCTATAGCCTCACTATGCTAGTGTTTATACACGCTAATACGCCGACATCGAGAGGCTATAGTATATAACTAGTATGCGAGAGTAAGAAGAATAATATAATATCATTCTTCTCATAAAATCGAATAAATTAGCGCGTTAAATACGAACTAAAACGGTCGCATATAACTAGCCTTTTTTCTTCTAAGTGTACGACTAACCGTCCACTTATAAAAGAGCTAAATCCATTAATATACTAAGGTATCGTTAATATAGCTAGTATCGGTTATAGCTATATACTTATCCTCCTAGATAGTATTAAACTAACGTAGTAATGCCTATTTTATACTTAGGATTATAAGTGGCGGGTAGGTAAAACTATCGGCCGAAATAGCCTCTAAAACCGTGGTAGACTCGCGATTTATAATAGATCCATTAAATAGCTTCTTTTTTAGATGCCTAGTAATAATGAATTAATCGCGACCGACGCTAATTTAGAAGCTAGTTTTATTAAAATTATAGATATCTTAATAGTATATACTATGCTTAGTCACCACACGTTAATAGTCTTAAAACCACCTCTCTACCACGGTTTTATTAAGTGCACTAGCCCTTTCGACATTAAGGGCTCGCCGGCGTCGTACATAGTACTTAGGATTACGTTTAAGAAAACGCTTTAGCTAGTGGTCGCCGATTTATGGTGGTGGAGTGGTAGAATCGGTATAGGCTTCTTCGAGAATTAAATTAGCAGTAATAGTAATTTATCGGCGATTTATTAATGCTCCGACCGTGTTAAAGTAATTAATATAATCACATAAAGCCTGCTCCTATATAGGATTAAGCTTCCGGTCATTAGGTTTTATTAAAAAGGTGATTTTCCACCGTACTATCGCCGGCGTAGTCGGTGGGTACATGGGAACCGCGAATTCTCGCGCAGTTTTCGAGATATTCGGCTTTATCTGCTTAGATAGAGAATCGAGAGCTAGCTGAATCTGTTACTCTATATCTTTATTGGTTTTAGGCATTTTTAGTGGTGTGGTTGATGGTCAAAATAAAAGGGTAGCATTTAAAAGAATATTTACATTTAGATGATCCTTTGCAAATGGGTGGCGGACCCTCGCTTGCGAGGGTCTGTAATTTTGGTACAAAATGTAAGGGCCGGTTACTACCAATCTCCTTATCCTCTATTAAAAGGCAGAAATACGCCCCTACTGAGACCCGCATAACTTCGAAGGCTATCTCGAATCGCTAGGAAATACCTCCCAGGTCAGACTAAGGGTCAAAGGCCTAAGCACTATTTATAAAGCTTTAGAATCCGCTTTAAGATATAATTATTACTATTATAAATAACATCCTACTAAATATAAAAGAGGAAATATTAATATAGGCTTTAGCCTTTACCTAAGTCTACTTCTTACTATCTAAAAGGGAAGGACTACCTATTATATATATATAAGATAAACAATAAAGGGAAGCTATAGCGATTTATTGTTAAATTAGCCCTAAACTAATAATAATACCCTTATCGAATATTTACCCCTATAATAGATATAAGGGTATATTACGAAGGGGAATAAGTATAAGAGAAAGAGGAAACCTAAAAGGCTAAGGACACACTAAAGGTAGATCCTACGCCTTAGGAGGGAGCGCTACCTCCGCTAAAAAATAGTAATAGTGCTAATTTAACGTCAAGAGGAAGTCATTATATATAGAGAGATAAAAACCACCAGGCACTAGAATGCCCCTAGAAAGTAGCTATCTAACCAATAACCTAAATAATTAGATTAGGATAATGAAGGTAGTTAGGAAAAATAAAAGAGCTAGAGTAAAAAGAACCTAATACCCTAGTTCTATACCTATAGATTAGGACTATAATATACCTTTATATACTAGTTACCCTTAGAAACGGTGTTAAAACCTATATAAATCTAGACATAGGCGCAGAATATAATATAGTTAGTAAGGAATCCGCTTATAGGAATAAATTACTTAACGTATTCCACTACCGAGTGGGCCACCTATCCAAAACGCGTCAATTAATTTAACCCCTTCTTCTTCAACCACCCACCATGCCACCAATTCGCTCTCAACGCTCTGGAAATTCAATAGAGTAAGAGGGTAGGATCTTACTAGCTATCCAGGCTTTTAAGAATCAAGAAATCTCTTTAATTCGTGAAGTGGCGCGCCGTTTCGAAGTCCCCCGCTCTACCTTATAACGCCGCCTCGCTGGTGATACCTTTCGTCCTAAAACACGCGCTAATAGTCATATATTAACAGAACTCGAGGAGGAATCTCTTTAAAAATGGATACTCTCTATAGATTCTCGTGGAGGGGCCCCCCGGCACTCTATAGTACGAGAAATGGCGGATCTTCTTCTTTAAAAGCGTGGAACTACCCCGGTTCTTTCGGTCGGCGAAAACTAGGTTACGAAATTTATATAACGGCATCCTCTCCTCTTCTCCCGATTCTTAAAACGGTATAACTACGAGAGTGCGAAATATAAAGACCCGAAAATCATTTAAGAGTGGTTTAATCTAGTTTAAAAGATAATCCTTTAATTTAGAATCGACCCCGACGATATCTATAACTTCGATGAGACCGGTTTCGCTATAGGAGTGGTTTTAACTATAAAGGTTATTACGAGAAGTGATTTACCTAGTCGAAGAGGAGTTTTATAACCTAAAAATCGTGAATAGGTGACTATAATTAAGTGTACGAATGCTTTAGGTTAGGCCCTCCCTCCGTGTGTGATTTTTAAAGGTAAAGTCTTTCTTAAATCATGGTTCGAAGGCCTTCCGGAGAACTAGCGTTTCGAAGTAAGCCCTAACGGCTGGACCTCTAATAAAATTAGACTCTATTAGCTAGAAAAGCTCTTTATTCCTAGTACTTCTGCGCGTACGAAGGGGGAGTATCGGCTTCTAGTACTTAACGGCCACGGAAGTCATTTAACGCCTAAATTTAACGAAATTTATGAGTAAAATAAGGTAATACTAATCTATATGCTAGCACATTTATCTTATCTTTTATAACCTCTAGATATTAGCTGTTTTACGGTATTAAAACGATCGTACGGTCGGATAGTTAAAACTAAAATGCGGAACGGGATTAACCATATCGATAAGCTTAACTTCCTCGAAGTATACCCCCTCGCACGAATTAAAGCTTTTAAATCGGAGACTATTAAAAATAGCTTCGGAGTAGCCGGTTTAGTCCCCTTTTTACCGGAGAGAGTGATTTTAAAGCTTAATATTCGGCTTCGAACTCTAACCCCCCCAGCTAGCCGGGGTAGTGAATTAAGCCGGAATTTTACACTAAAAACCCCTTTTATAGAGAAAGATCTACGTCGTTAGGCTTCATTAATTAAAGCTTTACTTCGTATAAGATCTCGAAGCCCGCCTAGCCTATTAGATCGTGTATTAAACTAGCTCATGAAAGGCTTCCGTCTTATAATATAAGGTGCTATCTTACTCGCTAAAGAAAATAAGGAATTACGCGCCGCTAACGAGAAGCAGAAGTAAAAGCGTACTCGATCCCGAAAGCAGATACCCGCCGAAGAAGGCCTTTTAGTTTAAGAAGCCTCTGCATTAATTATGCAGTAATAAGAAGTAATTAAAGCACCTCCCCCCGGCCCCGGCATGCCTAGAGAATCAACTATTCAGCCACGTACGCGGCCCCCCCGGGGGTGTGGAATATGCAGATTACCAGGGCATAGAAGAGAAACATGTCCAGATAGACCACTTAGTTAGTTGAATTAATTTAATGGCGTTTTGGTTAAGATAAATGCATTTAAAATTGGTAGGTTAGATGGGGTGGCCCACTCGGTAGTGGTGGCCCACTCAGTAGTGAAATACGTTAAAGGAATAGCACTAACTCTTTAATAGTCTTAGCCTTTATACGACCGCGGCGATAATGGTAAATATCGCGAGTAGTGTTAAATAATCGTTCTACACCTATACTAGTTACTAGAATTATAAGAATATCCCACGTAAGCAAAGTAATTGTAGGGAAACGGTTATAGTTCTCTCGCTAAAAGGGTAGCGGCTTAGAATTAACGATATCTATATAAAATTAGTAATAGATATTCATCGAAATAAGATTAGAAGAAGGGTATAACTTATTACTATTAAGATACTAGGTTATCTCGTCACTAACCGGCTTCGCTTTAGGTTTCTTTAGGCGAAGTGGATTATGTAGAGCTATGCTTAGCCTTAATCCGGGAGAGGAGACTAGTAGGCCTTAGCTAGTAGCCTAACGCTCTTAGTAAGGTATAAGAGTATCTTAGAATAAGGCTCGATATATATCACTAGGCCTTGGCAAGTCACGCGGTACCAAGCCAATTTTGGTAATGTTGCTCGGTGTCGTGGGGTACCGCGTGACTTTACAGATTTTGGCACCGTTACTCGGTGTCGGTACCGCATGGTGCTGCGGTACCAACGGTAGTCTCTATATGGTACCGTTTCTGCATAATTTGCTAAGAAATTATCTATTTAGGTTGCATAAAATGCTGCGTAAGTCGATAAAATACTGTTTTTTATGAGTGTATAGGCTGTATCTGGACCCGAGTCTTCTACCTTCATGATCATTAACGAGTATACATCGTTCGAACTACCTGTTCTTACTTTAAAAAAAGTACTCGGAGATATGACTACCCATATATATTATTAGTACTACCTTTATATACCTGTATTATTCTAAGTATTCCGTGTTTAGGTGTATAGATCACTCTACAGACTAAGTTAAGTAATACTGATGTATAAATTTATATTTAGGAGTTTTCAGGGTTTTATCCTTCGTCTACATTTTAAACCACGTCAAGTCTATGCTGTGTGGAATGGTTTAATATTAACTGAACTAAAAATCTTTCACCCAGGGAATAGTGTAGACCCTAAAAACTCCTATTCCTACGGTACTATAGATTGCACCGGCGGTACTCCCGTAGCACTCCGGTGGGGTATATGTGAGTATATAAGGGATGTACCTAATCAAGATACAATAGCACTATACGATTTAAGATCTATTAACGTATTTCACTACCGAGTGGGCCACCACTACCGAGTGGGCCACCCCATCTAACCTACCAATTTTAAATGCATTTATCTCAACCAAAACGCCATTAAATTAATTCAACTAACTAAGTGGTCTATCTGGACATGTTTCTCTTCTATGCCCTGGCAATCTGCATATTCCACACCCCGGGGGGGCCGCGTACGTGGCTGAATAGTTAATTCTCTAGGCATGCCGGGGCCGGGGGGAGGTGCTTTAATTACTTCTTATTGCTGCATAATTAATGCAGAGGCTTCTTGAACTGAAAGGCCTTCTTCGGCGGGTATCTGCTTTCGGGATCGAGTACGCTTTTGCTTCTGCTTTTCGTTAGCGGCGCGTAATTCCTTGTTTTCTTTAGCGAGTAAGATAGCACCTTGCATTGTAAGACGGAAGCCTTTCATAAGCTGGTTTAATGCACGATCTGATGGGCTAGGCGGGCTTCGAGATCTTATACGAAGTAAAGCTTTGATTGATGAAGCCTGACGACGTAGATCTTTCTCTGTAAAAGGGGTTTTTGGTGTAAAATTCCGGCTTAATTCACTACCCCGGCTAGCTGGGGGGTTAGAGTTCGAAGCCGAATATTGAGCTTTAAAATCACTCTCTCCGGTAAAAAGGGGACTAAACCGGCTGCTCCGAAGCTATTTTTAATAGTCTCCGATTTAAAAGCTTTAATTCGTGCGAGGGGGTATGCTTCGAGGAAGTCAAGCTTATCGATATGGTTGATCCCGTTCCGCATTTTGGTTTTAACCATCCGACCGTACGATCGTTTTAATACCGCAAAACAGCTAATATCCAGAGGTTATAAAAGATGAGATGAATGTGCTGGCATACAGATTGGTATCACCTTATTTTGCTCATAAATTTCGTTAAATTTAGGCGTTAAATGACTTCCGTGGCCGTTAAGTACTAGAAGCCGATACCCCCCTTCGTACGCGCAGAAGTACTAGGAATAAAGAGCTTTTCTAGCTAACGGAGTCTAATTTCATCAGAGGTCCAGCCGTTAGGGCTTACTTCGAAACGCCAGTTCTCCGGAAGGCCTTCGAACCATGATTTAAGAAAGACTTTGCCTTTAAAAATCACACACGGA